TCCCGGCCCACGCGCCGCGCGGGGGGCCCCCTGCCGTAAATGAAGGGGGACACCGGGGGGTCCCTGGAGGAGACGCTGGGGCGGGAGGTGTCCTGGGCATCGTGGGCACCGGCCGCGTCCCCTCGTCCCAGCTGTCCCGGAGCCTCCTGCGGGCATCTGTCTGCAAAGTGCCATCCCCAGCCCTCGGCAATGTGAAATCGGGTGCAGGAGCCACAGGGCTGGGCAAGACAAGGCTGCTGGTGGCCCTGGGCTTGCGCTCCTCCATCCAGCACAGCATCCCATCCCCAACGGGAATAGCATCCCGGGCCGAGTGTGTCCACAAGCCACGTTGGCCTCACACGGGTGCAAAGACCCTCCCACGAGGGCACCACGTCCCGCACGCTGGTCTTAGCGCGGGGTGGAGAGCGATTCGTCAGCAGCTCTTTAATTAAAGACGCTGCCGCAGGCGTAATGGCTTTATTAAATCTGCCTGGGCCTTGGCCGTGTCTCCAGTGGGCGCTAATGAAATTCCCGGCTCATGGGGAAGGAGCCGAGGCAGGAGCAGAGCCCCCGGGCTGAACCGGAGCGCCGGAGTGCCAGAGCGCAGCCCCGCGCGGCCACGGCCGCCCCTTGTCCCCCGCGTTATCGCCCAGGGCGGTTACTCGTTAACAGCCCTCCCGGAGCACCAGCGTCTGGGGCAGCGCCCGCAGGGACCTGCCCGTGCGGGTGCGGGACACGCGCGCGAGCGAGAGGGCAGTGCCGGGACGCGGCCGCACGTGTCCCCAGCCACGTGCGCCGCATCCAGCGGAAACTTCACCCGGGTGCAAAATCAAAAGGAAAAGAAAATAATGCAGAATAAAGCAGTTTGCTGCTGCCTCGCGAGTGGAATCGACGGCGGGGGGGACCTTCGGCTTCAGCTCCTGGTCCATCAGCCCCACGGCCAGAGCCCGTTCCCCGCTCCGGGGTTCTTCCTGGCACTGCCCGCAGGTAGCTCCACATCAGCTGATCCCTGTGATTGATAACCAGGAATTGATGCTTGTTGGGCAAAACCAGCAGATCTTGCCCTTCCCGACTGCTCCCCCCGGCGCTGGGGCCTTCCCCTCCCTCCACCCGCACTCATTATCACATCAGCATTTTGCTGAGCTGCCGGGTTTTGTTTTTTCCTTTTTTTCCCCCTCTCTCAAGCATTTTATCGCTAAGAAATGCTAATCTGCAAGCTGCCTCGCTGATGCTGAAGAGCCCAGCTGGCGAGGGCCGGCGCTCCGGGAGAGCTTCCCGCGGGAAAGCAGCCCCAGCAGCGTCGTTGTTTTCCCTAAAATGTGGGGGAAGAGAAGCCCCGTTTCAGGGCTTCGCAGCTGCAAAATGAGCGGCCCTGACCCAGGTGGCTCCCTGTGTCGTCCCGAGCTGCTCCGTTTCGAGTGAAGGGCTGCGAATCCTCGGCTGGTGTCTCCCAACACCAGGAATCCCCGAATCCTCTGCTCCTTCCCAGCTGCTCCCTGCATTGGGAAATGGTCTCAGAGGTGAGGAAAAATAAACCCCCTCTTGGTGCCCGGGGGATCTATTTGTCTGCAGTGCCGAGTGCCTCAGGGCCTCTGCGAGACCCGGGCACGTGGTGGGGACCCGGCATCAACATGGGACAAACCCCGAGAGAAACCCCTGGGATTTGGGCCGCCTTTGCCATGTGCCTGGCTGGAAAAGCAGCGTTTTCACCCCAGTAGCAACGAGGCCGCTTTGGCTTCGGCCTCGCAGGCTCTGCTGAGAAGGACCCGTGATAAGATCTGCACCGTGATGGCAAGTGCTCGATCTGCTGCCGAAGGGGCTGGCGGAGCCTTCCCGGTGATTTTAATAGCGGCGTGGATAAACAGCCGCGATAACCCGGCTCCCAGCGGATGATTAATGCTCCAGGAGCAGTCACGCTCGCTCGCCGCAGGGCCGGAATTGTTTTCTTTTATTAAAGAAGAAAGGAGAAAAAAAAAGACAGGAAAAATAATGGACTTTGCCACATTTTATGGGCTGATAGGTGTGGAGAGAACATGCTGGCCTCTTGCTGTACCCAGCGCTGGTGCCTATGACGCTAGTGCTGCAGCGGGTGTTGTGGAAGTCGGGATGAGGGAGATGAGCAGAGGAGTGAAGGATGAAGGAGCAGGAGTGAAGGATGAAGGAATAGGGATGGAGGGGTAGAGGGATGAGGGATGGAGGGATGAGGGATGAGGGAGAAGGACTGGGGCTGGCACCTCTTACCTATGGTGCCCCTCGCCCACCAGCATCCCAGTCACTCATCCCAATCCTTGGCCCTCTCCCGTGTGGATGGCCGGGCTCCCTGCACCATTCCCATCTCTTGGACCTGGAGACAACCCTTGGGACAACCCTCATCCACCTCTGAGCTTCCTCCTCCCAAGAATTGCCACCACGGAACAGAGCTGGGGACACTCTCACTTGGGCCACAAACCCAGAAGGGCGGCCCAGGCTGGGTGACTTTGGAGGCTGCTGGAGGGGAGGCTCGTTCGGAGCCTGGGGTGTAATTCTCAGCTTAATTTAGTGTAATTTGGTGTAATTTATTAGCGCTGCTACCTCACTCTGGCCGCAGTGCGTAGCCTGATGGCTCCTAATCACGTTAGCGGCGGCAGGTCTGAAATGCGCGGCGAGCAGGAAGGGTGCTCGGGATGCGTCATCTTTTTCTGAGGCTGTTTGGATGGAAAATTCGGAAGGGAGCCATGTTTTCCCTCTCCCTTACGGCCACGTCACAGCAGCTGGGAAAGCGGCTTAGCGAATTATGCGCTCTGATAATTGATTGAGTCCATCAGTAAATAAAGCAGCACCATTCCAAGCCGGGGGCCGGAGCGGGAGGAGGAATTCTCCACACAGGGAATTTTCTTGTCGCTCGCTGCTGGTCTTGTCCATAAAAGCAGTGGCCGTCGGGAGAACTAATGATCGTGAATGGTCATCGCGGGGGAGAAGGACCCAGTGGGGACATCAGCAAGGGATGGGGGACCTGAGTGTCCCCTGGGATGGTTGTCACCCACTGGCTGTGGCTCTCCAGGGCCAGGAGCGTTTCCGATCACTGCCCGGCACTCAGCCTGGCCCACGGATGCCCCCATGGATATGCCCGGCTCGAGGCACTGGGCACAGCAGGATGAGGCCCCAAGGAGGTGGCAAGGCTGGTGCCACCAACCATAATGCTTCAAAGCACCATAATAATAATAATTAATAAATAAAGTTGCTGCCTGCAAAGGTCCTACTGGCCGGTATCCATCCATCCGGCCTCCAGGACGGGCTCCAGGGGGATTGTCCGTGCACATGGCTCCCTTTCCCAACACCCGTCTCCATGGCAACCCTGGCTTTCCCATCCTTGGTCCCTCCATCCCCTGGACACCCTTGGGCCATGGAACATCCCCTGCCTCCTTGTATCCCGCCGGCCCACGGCTGCTATCACTCCTCCGGGATAGGAGGGGACATTTCTTCCCAAGCCCAGTCCCAGCTGTTTGGAGGCGATGGGATGTCATGGCATCACGCGCACCCTTGGGATCCTCCCTGCTCACAGAGCAGGAGCAGGGTGACCATTTCCCAGCCCACGTAGGAAACCCGGAGCTTCGTGCCACGGCTTCCCTGCTCTCCAAACACCATCGCACGGATTGCAACATCCCGGCCCCCGCGGGCTCCGCAGCGGCTCGCAGCCGCTCGGCCAGGGCGCGAAGCCCAGCCCAGCACTTCCCATCCCTGCTCCGGCTGCCCGGGAAACACACGGAGTTGCCGCAAGAGCCACAGGCACCGGGTGCTTCCTCCTCCGGCAAAGCGCAGAGCGAGGAAGAGTGCGGAGAGGCGGCGCGAGGCTGCAGGGCCCGGGGAGGTCCCCCATGGATGGTGGCACTCGGGACACATCCAGTGCCGTGCCGAGATGGCGGAGCAGAGCCCGGAGCCTCCCTGCGCCTTCGGCGAGGTGGGAAATCCACAGGGCTGCAAGGCAGCGCGCTTGGTCATGGGCCAAACTGGAGCCTGGCCAACCGTTTTTCACATTTTCCAGCAAACTGGAGTTTCCAAGGACCTGCTGCCTGCAGTGAGGCCAGCCAGGGTCGCTCCGGCCCTGGGGACAGGCGCACCTGGAGCAGGACTTGGAGCGCAGCGGGGATCAGGGAGGGGAGAAGCTTTTTCAGTCCGTGTTTGCTGCGGGAAGTGACGAGGGGGCTTGAATGGCCCTTGTGGGGTTGCAGGCTCCTAAATCCCTTCCTTTTCCTTAGGAATCCCTTCCCGTCACAAACGCTGCTGCCCACGGCTCTCTGCAGCGCGCCTGCTGGCCCTACAAACCACACTTAATCCCAGCGGATCCCACTGATTCCTGCAGCTGAATTGCCGGAGCTGGAGCCAGGCTGGGACGTTAACCCTTACCCGGCTGCATCCCACGGGGAGGGCGTATCCAAACCATGACTTCCCCACCAAACGGAGCCCTGGCTGTGCATCCCCTGGCCAGGGAGAAGGGGGATTCGTTAATTAAAAATATATATTTTTAAAACTATCAAGCTGTCAGTACCCTGCAGGGGGGGCACCTGGGGACCCCACTTGCTCCAGCATCCCGCAGCGTGGCCGGGGCCGCCAGCAGGGACACCCCGCAGCCACCGCTCCCTCCTTCCTTCCCTCCTTTCCCGGCCCTTCCCAGCCCCTTTCCGCCCGTGCGGGAGGCACCGCAGGGACTTTGCTCGGGCGCCCGCGCTGCTTCCCGCGGCGTGAGGGGCGGCCGGCGCGGTGGGCAGGGTTACGAAGCCGCTTTATAAGCGGGCGGCGGGC